TTCGAGTTAGATATGAACGATTGTCGAGGCCAAGGATATGATAATGGATCGAATATAGTAGAAATAAACAAAGATGACCAAAGCAAAATTCTGAATCAATATCCACAAGCATTTTTTAAATCCATGTAGCTGTCATTGCTTAAATTTGGTAATAGCAGATGCCGTCAAAACATCTGTTAAATCGGTTTCTTTGTTCAGATTTCTTCAAAGACTGTTTGTTCTAATCTCTGCATCAACAAAGTGATGGGAAGTGATATCCAAGCACATAGAAGGACTATCGCTGAAAAAAGTTTGTGGAACTTGTTGGGAGAGTAGAGTTTCTAGCCTTGCTGCAGTTTGTTACCATTACTCTACGAATGACCCAGTTGCAGCATCAGAGGCCTTGTCGCTGATTCATATCATGGAGCAATTTGAGTTTATAGTAACAATAGTGGCTTGTTATGATATATTGTTTCAAGTAAACATTGTAAGCAAGGCTATGCAGTCTGAAACTATGGATTTACCAAATGCTACACAATTGCTGAAGAATTGCTATGTATTTGTAAAAGAGTACAGTGTTATTCATCTGCTGTGATAACAGCTAGGGAAATTGCATTTCTGATTGCACTTTGAATTTTGCTGACCATACCTATAACTGTTGCTAAAGGATAATGAAGTTTTAGTAAATTAAAACTTATTTACGTACAACCATGTGTCAGGATAGACTGTCAAATCTAGCAATTTTATCTATTGAAAATTGTATTGCCCAGGAATTAATTTATTCTGAATTAATAACAACATTTGCAAGCACAAAAGCGAGAAAGGTGGCAATGTAGGCTTTTTATTTTATTTTTCTTAAATTGCTTCAATTTTAAATTAATTTACGATGTAAATTTGTCTTTTGTGTGATGTGAGCGTTGTCTGTGCCATAGCAGTTTAAATAAATATTGTTATAAATATTGCCTTCTGAAAAAAATTAAATAAATATTGTTTTTTTTTTCACTGTTATTGCTCCTCATCCATACTAGTACTATGCTATTGATTTTACTGAAGAGTGAGCTGGGTTGTGAAAATATAAAACATGATCCTGATATGTGTGCTATATCTCCATAACCTAAAATTAAAAGATTCCATCAACGGAGGGGAGGAGAAAAAACATCAACAGTTTGCGATACTTCTGAATTAAGAAGGGTCAAGTTAACTCTCCATTTACCGTCGTTATCGTTTCTCATCCATAGTATTACTATACTAATCTTTCAAAGGTCTGAGTTATTAATAATGTGAAAAATGTACGTTATCAGTTTATTCTCTACGGGGGGGCGCCACAATGAGATCTCGCACCACCTGAAAACCCGACTAGGGCCGCCACTGAACACTACAACACAACAGTTATTTTTTGAAGTTTTGTGTGGCAGAAAGTTGTTGTTCATTACCACAGGAAGAAAACAAGCACCGCGTTTCCGTACGTATCAGACCCAAAAACACCTGTTTTCCCGAAGCGGTTTTCTTTGTCTGCGTACAGGTGGCGTACAACTCAGTTCCACTAGCTAAGAAACCAGGAGACCAATCGGATTTGTAAACGATTCGTTCAGTCTCTACTGAAGTTAGTTTAGGGGTAACCCCTCTCTTCCTGTGATTCATAGGAAGTGTGCAATGACAAGAAAGATAAACTTTTTGTCGTTTTTTTCTGCTTTAAAAGTATTCTAAAATATTACTTTTACGTATAAAAAATGTTCGGCATTTTCCGTTTTCACGTGGTCACGATGCACTTCTAACTACCTGACGTCATAAACTTATTAACCAATTACGGGACAGAAAAGTACTATAGTGAGAAAAGCTAGTTGGGAAAAGAATAAACGCCACTTCGCCCCGAGTGTGACGTCATAAAAGGCAGGGGCGTGTACTGCAGTCAAATATACAAGGAGTTTCTTGGACGCGAGATATGTAGATCTTTAAACAATTAAAACGTTTCTCACTTTTTATTATTTATGTGGAAAACAGACCAAAACATAAAATATTTAAGTTTTCATGAAATTACTTAATATATATTTAAATAAACTTATATATTATGT